AGGAGGAGGAGGAAGAGGAGGAGGAGGAGGAGGAGGAGGAGGAGGAGGAGGAGGAGGAGGAGGAGGACTATGGGATTCTTTGAGCTATTTCAGTCCCAAACTAGGTAGCATCATCAACGCTAGAGGAGAGTGGGGCATGCTCTCTGTTTATAAACAGTGACTTTCCTTGTCACTGTGGGTGGACATGTTTTCATTGCTTCCTTGGTCAGGCTGCTGTTTACTGAGTTGATAATTCATCCAGAGAGCAAGCCCCACTCCCTTCTAGTACTGATGATGTTACTTAGTTTGGTAATGAAACGTCTGCAAGGAAACAACCAAGCTCAAAGAGCACCAAGGACCCCACAGTGCTGCTGCTGCTGCTGCTGCTGCTGCTGCTGCTGCTGCTGCTGCTGCTGCTCCTCCTCCTCCTCCTCCTCCTCCTCCTCCTCCTCCTCTCCTTAACCACCACTCCCTTCTAGCACTGAAGATGTTACCTAGTTGGGTAATAAAAGAAAACTACCAAGCTCATAGAGCACCAAGGACCTCCTCCCCTCCTCCTTCTCCTCCTCCTCCTCCCCCTAACCACCACTCCCTTCTAGCACTGATGATGTTACCTAGTTGGGTAATGAAACGTCTGCAAGAAAAATACCAAGTTTGGAGAGCACCAAGCATTCCACCAAGGAATAGCTCTTACTTTCTAAAAAAAAAAAAAAAGAAAAAAGTGGTGACTTCCTCTTTCTCAATTCTGCCTTTTTCTTTTGTGTTCCATCTTGAGACTTAAAGTGTTCTCACTCAAGATTAGAATGGAATGGAACGGAATAGAATAGAATGGAATGCAGAATAGAATAGAATAGAATAGAATAGAATGGAATGGAATGGAACGGAACGGAACGGAACGGAACGGAACGGAACAGAACAGAATCTAGAAGGGACCTCGGAGGTCTTCTAGTCCAGCCCCCTGCTCAAGCAGGAGATCCTATACCCTTTCAGACAGGTGATTGTCCAGTCTCTTCTTAAAAATCTCCTTCAATGAAAGGTCCGGATAACACCAGATCGGAGATGGAGACCCATCCAGGGGTCATGGATGGGACAGGACAACTCCATGGGAATGTATGTTACTTTCTCACCTGGATTAGTGAAATGTCCAGATGGATTTGGGTTTCCTCATTGCTTTCCAAGCCGGGTGTGGCGTTGTTGACTCCACAAAGCCTTTCTGATCATATTGGGTTCTCACAAGCCTTTCCATGCCTCTCAACCCATCTGGCTCTGGGTGACGAAAGAGACACAGCACAGCTTTCCTGAAGCAGGTGTGATTCAGGGGTTTAGCTCTTCAAAGGACTTTGTGGTGACTCAGGATGATGGTTAGGAGGTTTATAGCCCATTAGCAATAGCAACAACACTTAGACTTACTGCATACACCGCTTCACAGTGCTTTACAGCCCTCTCTAAGCGGTCAGCCTGTTGCCCTCCCAACAATCTGGGTCCTCATTTTACCAACCTCGGAAGGATGGAAGGCTGAGTCAACCTTGAATTTCATCAAGATTGAACTGTGCACCACCACGGCTTCCTTCCTTCTCATTTTCCTTCCTGCCTTCCTTCCTTCCTTCCTTCCTTCCTTCCTTCCTTCCTTCCTTACTTACTTACTTACTTACTTACTTACTTACTTACTTCCTCCCTTCCCAAGTAACACCACTTAGACTTACATACCATTTCACAGTGCTTGACAGCCCTCTCTAAGCTGTTTACAGAATCAGCCTGTTGTCCCCAACAATCTGGGTCCTCATTTTACCGACCTCGGAAAGATGGAAGGCTGAGTCAACCTTGAGCCGGTCAGGATTGAACTGCTGGCAATGGGCAGTGAGTTAGCCTGCAATACAGCCTTCTAACCACTGGGTGGGAAGGAAGGAAGGAAGGAAGGAAGGAAGGAAGGAAGGAAGGAAGGAAGGAAGGAAAAACAGGAGAGGGAGGAATTAAGAGAAGGAAGGAAGGAAGGAAGGAAGGAGGGAAGGAAGGAAGGAAGGAAGGAAGGAAGGAAGGAAGGAAGGAAGGAAGGAAGGAAAAACAGGAGGGGGAGGAATTGAAGGAAGGAAGGAAGGAAAGAAAGGCAGTAGAAATAGCACGTAAGACTTATATACTGCTTCATAATGCTTTACAGCCCTCTCAAGAGGTTTACAGAGACAGCCTAAGGCCGGATATAAATAAACAATACATTACATTTTCTGATGTTTCCCCCCCACACACTATTTTTTTTTTTTTTTTTTGGCTTCTCTTTGAACCGCAGGTGGAATCCCCAGCCCTGTCGGAAGAGATCCAGCATTGGGTGAGATACAACGAAGCCAGCAGCCAGAGCCTCAGGATGGAGAGCGATGTCCAGGAGAAGAGCAAAGCCCCCTGACTGGGGGGGGGGGGTTGTCCTCAGAGGCCTCCCTCGCCGTCTTCCAGACCAGGCTTCCCTTCCCAAAGCATCAGGCGGCATTTGCCCTCTCTTCCTCCCTGTCGGTACCGGAAGGAAAAGCTGGAGTTGCTGCCACTTTTAAGGTCCTCAAAATACCCAACTGGGCCCTTGGATGGAGGGCAGGGGCCCCCAAAGACGTCCCAGCCATCGCTCCTCTCCACCGGGACCCGTGATCGGTGGCTGTGGGCGGCCCTTGGCACCTCTGTTGACAGCACGACAAGCGAATTTCACGGTACCCAGCCGAGCGAAGAGAAGGAAGAGCCTCCGCTCTTAAAATGGCAAGGGGACCGAGATGAGTTGGAACGCAGTTGCATGCTGGTTCTACCAAGGAGAAAAGTCACTTCTTAATTCTTCTCTTCTCTTCCCCCCACCCCTGCCCTCTCCTCTCCTCCTTCTCCTCCTTGCTCTTCCTCCTCTTTCCTCTTCTTTCTTCTCCCCTCTCCTCCTTCTTTCTTCCTCCTTCTCCTCCGCCTCTTTCCTCTTCTCCCTCCCTGTCTTTCTCTTCCTCCTCCTTGTTCTTCTTCCTCCTGCTCTTTCATCTTCTCCTTCCTCCCCTCCTCCTCTTTCTTCTTCCTCCTTTCCTCTTCTTCTTTCTCTCTTCTCCTCTCCTCTCCTCTCC